TATATATATAAAGTCACAAAATTCAGACCCAATGTGAAAACTCATCATTTTACAGCTTGTACAGAACGATCAGTACTCACAGAAAATATGTAATTTCAAACGGTACATATCTTYCATCAGATAACAGCACAAGCTTGTCGTGTTCCTGGTTGAATCTAAACTTTTTGTCCAGCACGGCGTAGATGTGGAAGGTGAAGGTGGGCACGCCGGGTGGCGGTCTGACGGGGCTTCGATCGCTGTGGACAGAAAAGGATTTATGTTTTCAGATCAGCCTCACAGTTTGATGGAGATGTTCGGTCTTACCGAGCGCTTTGAGATGATTTATCAGCTGGTCTGGGCTTTTTATCACCTCCTCCTTCTCCAGACATGGCTTTGGCATACGACTTGGGTGTGGGGTCTTTTTCGGGTTGAAACGTTGCTGCATCAGCGGCCCCACATGCAGACAGCTTAGTCTCCTCTTCAGGTTTGGACCCCGATGACGCTCCATCTTTGACTGGACTTTCATTGATCTTTACATGAGCAGCAGCTTTATGTTCAGGTTCATCTTGTTTCTGTTGTGTCTCAGCAGGACCGCCTGAGTCTGTCTGAATCTCTTTATCACTTGTGATTMTTTGTGTCGTCATGTCAGTCTGTGTGTGCTGATGTTTCAGAGAAACAACCACAGTCTGTGTGAACTGGTTTTTACCTTCGTGTTTTCTTGTTAGAGTCTGAGCTTCCACCGTCTTTGAATCGTTCTGGTGTTGATCATTTGAGCCATCTCTAGCCTGCAGGTGCTGTTCCTCTAAAAWCAAATCTCCCTGAGTTTGGCTGCTTGTCGTCTCCACAACCTCTTTCTCCACCGTTTCCGTGATTTCACCTTCTGAGACAGTCTTCTTCCTCCTCCGGTTTCTCCTTCTCCTCCTTTTATCATAAAACTTCCTGCTGGGATTCTCTGAAGCCTGTTGCTAGAATAAGCACAACAGTTTCATAATGACTCACATGCACCTGAAACACCTGACCGAAACATTTTATTGCTGCATTTATACCTCATTTCTCTGYCGTGGTCTTTTGGTTGCAACATCTTCAGTTTCCCTGGAGTTTACTTGAGATTCTGGAGTTTTGTTGAGGTTTCCCTCCATCTGTGTCCCACTTCTCTGCTATCTGATGAATATAAATATAGAGACCCTATAACTACGCATCTGTTGAAATCAGTTGCAATACAAACAATAAGGGAGARGTGAAATGATTAAAGATTTATAATATTCTCAGGCTTGTACACAAACACACATAGTTCAGGAGGAACTTTATAATTTTAGTCTTAGTTTAACATTTTAAAAGGCTAAAAATTTAAGACGTAATTGCTTTGCAAAATCCAAAACTGTTTAAATTAGTTTTTTTTTTTTGTTTTAAAAAAATTGCATGACCTTTCCTATAATTAATAAATAATCAAATACTATGAGCTAAAATAAGCTACCACGGTCAACTGTTAGTTCCATAAACAATTAGCCTGTAAATTAAGGTAAACTAGCTAAATTAAGTTAATTTTGAGAGTTATTACAGAGAAAAAGCAATGAGACAAGTATTACTTCAGCATCTTAATCGTGTATAACAACATTTATTAACTKTGAGAGTAAAAAGGAGCATTTAAAACTGCAATATTTTAGCTATAAGGCGTGTTTTGCTTACCTGCGATTGTTTGCAGCTCCAAATAAAAACGAAATGCAGCGAGCTTCATTTACCAGCCCTTTAGGTTAGCATAAGAAACCGTCTGTAAATGTGTCTACTCTTATATAGTGTAATATTTACTGATACTTGTTTTTGTTAAAATAAATTTAGCTACATAATTATGTATTCTTTACTAAAGATAATCAACAGGTTAGTGTGGATAAAATGGTAAATAGCGCGTTGTTTAACCCATTTTTCCCCTGTTGTCGTGTAGGTAATTTTTTGACGGTCCCTTAATTAAACTCAAGTCTTTTCGGTTTCGTTTCTTTTGGTTGCATCGAAGAAGAAACCTAAGCTGCGTTCAAGTACTCCTTGGATTTTTCAGTTTCAATTTTCAAAGAGRAAGTTTATTTATTTATTCCTATTTTATATTTTATTCCACGCGCTTCGTATCCTTGCAAATATTTTTTGACTTTACTTGACAACAAAATGTAAATATTAAAACCATAATGAAAAAAGACATCAAAACATCATTTTAAATAAACATTTTTATTAAAGAAAAGGCAA